AATGATTAAGTCGATAAATGACCAATATGATTCTTAGAGAGGATTCTCTTAATATATATGAAGATAAGTAAGAATAATAAGTGTATGTACTCACTGCTTGGTTTGATGAGCGTCTTATTTTATAGAGCTTGGGGCATGCTTTCCTTTACCCAGCGTATCCCGGCCGAGCAGTCCACTCTTCTGCTCCTCGGCGCCTCTGGTGAATCTTTTCTCGGGTGGCTCGGATCATGATTACCTTTCTTGTAATCAGAAACCCCCTCTCTTTAGATTGGATAGGATAAGGCCTCATTTCTACTTCCTCAGCCTTTCGGCCGCGTCTGGTCATTAAAGCATTAAATACCCCTGTCACAACATTTTATGAGCCGTTGGGGGCGTCACAGGTGCTTGTTAGACGCATTGAAGTCGTTCTTATGTATCTACCCCGACCTCTAGGTCTATAGCAACAATTGCCTAGGTATATCCAGAGCCACGTTCCAACACTCGGGCAGCCTCCTTGCAACTCGTACTGGCTAGGATCCTAAGCCCCCAGGGAAAATCTTCCTTCCCCATTCTCCTCCTCGGGCTTGGTATCGTGGTGGGTCTCTAAAGGGCTCTCCTTAGTGGGCCTCCCATGTATTGGTCCGATTGGACAATATATTAGTTCGGATCATAAGTCATGAAAGGTTTCAATTAAATTCAGCTTCTTGTGTCTTGTAGTATCTCGTGGTTATAGAATTTCCAATTGTGTATTATATTATCGACCCTTCACATGATCTTTGAATAATTTCCACGTATTGGTATTGAATCCTTCGTTATTCCAAAAATAAGCTCATGTGCCCAATAATAACTAGAGCATATATAGGAGGTATTGGGCTATCCTTTCCCCTGCCAAAAAATCCAGTTCAATTGTAAGTTTCACATTTACTAAAATATAACATCTTTATGAATAATTATACATACCAAAAACCTTTGGCTCTTCCATAATCACATAATTTAACTTGGTGGGGGTATGAATTCATATGCAAAATGTCATCACCTTATTAACTTGGAAGTGGAAGCTAAAGAAATAAGACAAAAGGGCTAAAAACCTAAAGTGTGATTTGAATGGATTTGAATCTCATCCATAAATAGACTAAACCTTTAATTGCGATTAAGGATATAATTATTCTTAAAGTTTCACCCACACTTATTTACGCTAAACAAAAAAAATAATAATTATAAAAAATAACAAATGAAAAAAGTGGAGTTATGGAAAAGTTTCTATCACTACCATATGACTTTCACATGAACCAAGGTTGTCCTAGGTTAAAAGCTTCATTTGCACATTTAACTTTATACTTAATGGTGGGAACTTTCCCAGCCCATGGAGTGCAAAGTCATATTTCAAATTCGTTTTTGGTAAATAAAAAAAAAAGATTTCCTTTAGTTTTCTTTGATTATACATTTTCTCTTTATTTATTTCTTTGATCTTTTTATCCATTTCATATTGTGCAAACTACAAACACAACTTTAGAATAGAATTTAACTAAATTGTTGGTAACTAAATAAGTTCTCTTTCTTCATTTTTATTTTCTAATCTTAATCATTTCTTAGAAAAAGTAGAGTTTATATAAGTTCCCTTTATTTTATATAATAATAGTAATATTATCTTTAATAAGGACGAGTTGAGGTGAACAAAACAACACCAATCACGATCTTTAACCATACTTAAGTACAAAAGAAGCGTAGAATGAGTGGTTGAGAAATAAGATTATTGTGGCATATCGAAAATCAAAATTTCAAAACTGGGCAATAATTTGTTCCATGTCAAAAAAGCAATATAAAGACTTATAGGATCCTCTGATTTTTGAAAAGCAATACATAAAAATAAAGTAAAAGTTGGTTGAGAAATAAGATTATGTGGCATATCGCAAACCTAAGTTCCAAAACTGGACAAAAAGACTTGTGGGATCCTCTCATCTGTGAAAAATAATAAAATACCTATAGCATAATTAGAACGAAAAAGAAATTGAGTCTTTTCGTTTTTTAATTAATTAACATATATATATATATATATATATATGCGCCCTCAGCCCAAGTCATACATCTAATGGGCCGAAGATAGGCCCGAAAACCCATTAGCTCACCAACGAGCCCCTCTCTCTCACCGGCCCAAGCTTACCAACCAGGCCCATATATAATCAAAGCCCACAAGACCCCCTTCCTCCCCCTCTTTCTCTCTCTCTCTCTCTCACTCTCTCTCTCTCTCTCTCTCTCTCTCTCTCTCTCTCTCTCTCTCTCTCTCTCTCTCTCTCTCTCTCTCTCACATTTTCTCTCACTAGGTTGCTTATAAACCAAGGAGAGGATAGAAGATAAAAGGGGGAAGAGTATTTTCTCTCTCTCAGCTCCTAGCCACACAAAAAAAAAGAGAGACAAGCATACACATCCGCCAAAAAACACACACATACAGAGAAAAAAGAATTCACACACACAAATACGCAAACTAGCACACACCAACACACACAGACGAGAAAATACACTTGTACATCCAAAAGAAGTACACCCCGAAGACACACTAGTACTGGAGGTGGTCCAACTGGGCCACATTATATATATATATATATATATCACCCCACTCAGTCTCAAAAATCAAATTTTAGTTATAATATATTCTAGAAAAGAAGCCGGTTAGTTTCCCCGCATTAACATTCTAGTGAAAAATGTCTTTATTTGTGCCACCTCCCCATGATATGATTTATTTCTATATTCTATGTTAGTTATTTTTTTATTTTATTTTTAATACAAAAATAACTGATATATATATATATATATATATATATATATATATATGACTTATGATTTATTCCATAACTTTTTTATTTTTTATATTAAATAATTTATAACAAAACTAAAATTAATATTATGTAAAAATTAGAGAAAAAAATATATATGAGTTGAACTCGAGCTCACCAAATTTGACGTGTGCTAGAGTTCGAAAAATTCGGCGAGCTCGGGTCATTTACACTTCGAGTTACTTACACCAATGTTGTTAGAACCAGAACGAACCAGTCGGTCGGACCGGCTCGACCGTGAGCCGGCGATAAAGCGGTCTGGTCTGACATCTAAAATCGGGGTCAAATGAACAAAAATCGGTTCGACCGGTTAAAACCCAAGAACCCACGAGTCAGTCAAGAAACCCGGTTTCGCCCAAAACGTCTCGAATCACCACTGAGTTGGTTATTTGTGGCTAGATTTGACCGAATTTTCATTGACATAGTAGTGGGTGGCCGAATCTAGTCATGAGTGGTCGAATGATTGTTAGATACGATCATGGGTGATCGAATAGGGGTGGCCGATTGCCGAATTTGAAGAATAAAAAATGAAAACATATAGAGCATAAGCAATAAAATATAGATTAAAAAATGAGGTGAAGTAGATAACAGTGAAAATAATAAGTGGGAGAATAAAAATATAAAGAAAACAATATTTTTAAAACATTAAAATTAATAAACTAAAGACATATTAAGAGAAAATCAAAAACCCGATTGAACCGGTTAGACTCTATAAACCCATGATCCAATGGTCGTCCGATTCTATAGCCGGTCCAGTTCTGAAAACATTGCTTACACTATCACAAATACATATATATGCAAATTTTGTAGTTATCCTTGCATATTTATAATAAAATAATCTTACACCCATTTTTATGTTTGATTTTTTTTTTTTGTTTTTTGTTTTTTATGAGTACTATAAAAACCTGAAATAACTAAATGACCATAAATATCATTTCACATAATGTTTTTTTAATTAGGTATGAAACCGTTCTTCTCTCTAGTAATAATCTGTGTTTCAATCTCTAGCCCTAGGGTTTATATAGGTCTGCTTTACTAGAGTTTATATCACAAGGGTTTATAATTTATATATATAGGTCTGGGTTTCTGAGTATATTTCAGGGGGTAGCCAAGTATGCCATGGACCACCCCAAAAAATAAAAAGAAGTTTGCCCTAGTGGTAAAGATCTCTAATTTTTTAGATAAGGTCATGTGTTCGACTCCATTTTGGTACAAAAATTTGTTTATTTTTTTTGTCTCAATTTCTTTTCAGCCCCTCTCCCATAAACACATCATATTATATATATATATTACTATTTAGTCCACCCAAAATTCAAAATATACAAAAAAAGTCCTAACATTTTTATTTTTTTTAGCCCCTCCCCCAAAAACACATTATATTATATCTATATTATAATTGAGTTCATCCAAAATTCCAATGTTTATTTTTTTGTCTCAATTTCTTTTGAGCTCCTCTTCCATAAACACATTATATTATATATATATATATATATATATATATATATATATATATATATATATTACTATTTAGTCCACCCAAAATTCAAAATATACAAAAAAAGTCATAAATATTTTCTTCTCCTAATTTATCCAAAAAAAAAAAAGTTTCAATATTTCTTCCTTTCTTCTAATTTATTCAACAAAAAAAAATTCAATTTTTTTTTCGGGGGCGCTGCCCCCAAACCCCCAAAAAATTATCCCACTGTACAGTAAAATCCTGCACTCGCCACAACCGGCATACCCTGAATTTTCATCCTGGATCCGCCACTGCACATATATATATATATATATATATATATATATATATATATATATATATATATATATATATATATATAAAAGTCTGTTTTTCCGAGTTTATTTCTCTCTCTAGGGTTTATCAGAGCCATGGAAAAGGCAAAAGCAAAAGTCAACTCCAATAAATCCATGGATAGGATATCCGAGTTGCCGGAAGACATCTTGTAGAGAGAATACTTTATTTCGTGTCCCAGGACGATGCTGTCCGAACATTTGTCTTGTCGAAAATCGTGGCGTAATATTTGGTGCACTCGTCCCAATCTCGATTTTTCAGACAACACCTTCAAAGGTAACAACCAACAATTTCTCTAAGTTGTGGATACTACTTTATAGCGATACTGCGATCAAAGGTTGCGTATAGAGGAGTTTTACCTCCGTATATTTTTACGTGAAATGGATCATGAATTCGTTTCTCTTCTCGAAAAGATTGAAAGCAAGTCTTCAGTTTGTCTTGACATTGAGACAAGGTGGAATTCTACATACTTAATGTTGGAGGCTGCCACAAAATTTGAAAAAGCCTTTGAGCGGATGAAAGAAGATAACTCGAATTATAAGATTTACTTTAAATTGGGTGACAAAGATGATGAAGACAATGATCGAGACCAATTAATTGGTGGGGAGCAAACTTCTCAAAAAAGAAAGGCGAAAGATAGCAAATATATTGAACGCCAAATGAAGATGATTGGACTGTTGCTAGGTCATTTATAAAGTTTTTGAAACTTTTCTATGATGTAACCAAACAATTTTCTGGTTCTTTACAGGTGACATCTAATTTGTTTCTTCAAGAAATTGTAGATGTGCATGCTAAACTGAAGTATTTGTCGAGACACAATGATCCAAAAGTGAGCCTTATGGGACTCAAAATGCAAGAGAAGTTCGTTAAATATTGGGAAAGTTTTGATAAGCTGAACCTTTTTGTTTATGTTGGAACTGTATTGGATCCACGGTACAAATTGAGGTTCGTAACATTTTGTCTTAACCAAGTTTATGAAGATGATAGTGCCATGTCGAGTTTAATGGAAGAGGAAGTTAGAAAAGTATTGACTCGTTTGTACGAGTATTATAAGCAGCGTACTCCTGGTCAAAATTCTGAAAATGTGCCTTCAAGCTCAAGTCAAGCTCTCTTTGATGTTATGGACATAGATGATGGTCTGGGAACTGGTAAGTATTTAGCTTCTCAATTTGCAAAACAGTTGGAGAAAAATGAATGTGTTAAAAGTAAGTCAGAACTTGCTAGATATTTAGAAGAGAGTTGTGAAAAAGATGTGGAGTCTTTTGATTTGTTGAGATGGTGGAAGGAAAATTCTATCAGGTTCCCAATTATTTCTGAAATAGCTAGAGATATTTTGGCCATTTCCATCTCTACTGTGGCATCCGAATCAGCCTTCAGTACAAGTGGACGCATTCTAGATCCATATCGAAGTTCTCTTAATCCTGAAATGGTAGAGGCTCTTGTATGTTGCCAAAGTTGGTTAAGATCAAAGACAACAATAATTGACATACTAGAACTGATGAGAGAAGTGTCAATTACAGATGTCGAGAACTACAATGAACTTTTAAAAGGTAAGTTTCATGTTATTTTAATTTAAAAACTTTCATTCATATATTTTTTTTCTTTCTAAACGTGAATAAAACAACACCAATCATGATCTTAAATCATACCTAACTACAAAAGAGGCGTAAAATGAGTGGTTGAGAAATAAGATTATTGTGGTATATCGAAAACCAAGATTTCAAAACTGGGAAATAATTTGTTCTAGGTCAAAAAAGCAATATAAAGACTTGTGGGATCCTCTAATTTTTGAAAAGCAATAAATAAAAATAAAGTAAAATTTGGTTGAAAAATAAGATTTTGTGGTATATCGCAAACCAAGGTTTCAAAATAGAACAAAAATCTTGTGGGATCCTCATATTTGTGAAAAACAATAAAATAACTAAAGTAAAAGTATAAAGAAAAAGAAATTGACCCATTTTATTTTTTATTGATTATATATATATATATATATATATATATATATATATATATATATATATATATATATATATATATATATATATATAAACACATATATATACACATCATACATATATCATATCTACTATATGTGTGAAAGATAGGCCCTAAAACCCCATCAGCCCACCAACGAGCCCTCCTCTCTCCGGACCAAGCTTACCAATCAGGATCATATATAATCAAAGTCCACCTGACCCCCTTCCTTTCTCTCTCTCTTCCTCTCTGGTGGCACACAAACCAAGGAGATAATATAAGATAAAAGGGAGAAGAGAACTCTTAGCCACACAAAAGAGAGAGACAAGCACACACATCCACCAAAAAGATACACACATACAGAGAAAAAATAATTCACACATAAATACGCAATCCAGCACACACCAACGCACACTCAGCACATAGAGGAGAAAATACGCTCATACATCCAAAAGAAGTACTGATACGATCCTAGTAAGCTCAAAGATGAAGGATTGGAGAACAGAAAGCGAATGAGATTAATGGAGCAGTTCGTGTTGGAATTGAATAATAAATGCTCGAATCAGGCCTTTGAAGAGTCCTTTATGAGGAATTGGAAGAAAAGAAAAAGAATAATTTGTTGGACAAGTCGAATTCCATGCGTTCGAGATTCTCGCCTATGAGATCCAATTAAGGTTATTCTAATTGCTATGGAAAGCCAACTGGAATTTCTACAACTTTCATGTTTTGTGCGGAGAGAGATTTGAAGTGTAACAGTGTCCTAATGAAGCTTGAAGTTCTTGCACGTGCACAACCAATTGTCTACGCGAGATTATAAGGGTGATCGAGAGGTCGACTTGAAAATCAAGTTATCTAATTTATTTATGCACGTTTTCATATTAGGATTTAATATTTTTATTATTGTAGAGTCTTTTATGGTTAGAATTAGCTTAATTTGATGTTTCTTTATTATAGTTTAGGTAGGAGTCACTTACCTTGTGAAAAATGAGTCTTTTTAGATCTTATAAATAGGTTGCGAATTTGGCTTATTTTAAGGGACGAATTTTAATGAATATTTGAGTATATTGAGAATTTATTCTCCTTCCTTGTTCTACAACAAATTTCGGGATTTTACAAGTGGATTCTTGTAACTTTCTTAGCGACATAATATTGGTTTCTGGTTCTTTATAACCACGGGGTCAATACTCCACCTTGATAATAATGGTTTCTAGCTCTTTATAGCTATGGGGTCATTATTCCTTGGTTCCACCCTTCAATCTTTGTTTTTGGATGTTTTTCGATCTTGCTTTCGCGTAAGGTATTGGGTCTCGTAACAAGTTCTACGGGGTTCGTATCAAGTACATATCAAAGACACACTATTACATAAGGTGCACTCAATCTCAACATCATAGTTTAGTTATATTATATTCTATAAAGGATGCCGGTTAGTTTCACCGCATTAACAATCTAGTGAAAAATGTCTCTGTTTGTGCCACCACCTCATGGTATGATTTATTTCTATATTTTATGTTCGTTGTTTTTTTTATTTTTTAATATTCAAAATCTATGGACTGTAATTGAAATATTTACAAAATTTATATTTTTGAATTTATTTAATGTTTGAAAATTTCATTTTTTTTCTTCTAAAAAATTATACTACAATAACATATACTTTTGGATTTGCAACTTTTTAGAAATTCAAACATATTTTTTACAAAAAATAGAATATGTAGGGAGTTCAACCAAGTGGAGAGGAGACTGGCATAATTGGAGTCACTGGTTTTGAGTATTGCACAAGAACGCACGTCAAGATAAAAACGGAGTCTTTAATATAATATTGAAGTCCTAATACTGTCTTTGTAAAACTAAAATAGTGGAAATCCTTTTTGCAGATCCTCATGGATGTAGGGTGCAATTGTATCCGAACCACATTAAATTGGATCTCTTTTTAATTATGGTTCTACGAACTATTACACTATTATACGTAACAATAACAACAAACAGAATCTGACAAAAAATAATTAACATTTGCACGAAATAAATTTAACAATCACCTTGTCAATCACATATATAACTAAATTGTTAAGTCGACTCAACACAGAGCCACGGTTTAGAGAAAAAATGACGGCAACTACAAGTGGAGCTTTTACGGTTCAAAAGCTTTCTAAAGAGAAGTGTGATCGATGGAGCATTGAAATTAAACTTTTCTTTGTTGAACGACATTTGAAAAGCCATTGAAGAATAATATGTCGAATTTGGCTTCGTTAAGCCAAAGTCAAAAGAAGACAACTAAAAAACCGAAGGTGAAAGCCCTATCCATCATCCAACTTGGTGTAGATGACGGTAACTATAAGAAACTTCCTCAAGCTACTACTACTACAAACAATTATAGTGATGCTTTCAAAGGCATATGGATAAGGCGAAAAATAAAAATTACAAAAAATATAAAAGAATTATCTGATGGCTAAACTAAATGATATTGTCAAAGTAGAGCGATTATAATCAGTTCCTACTTTCTCTTAAATGAAAAAAGAGAAAAAAATAGTTCCTATTTTAAATGGAATGCTTCGACGGTGAACGCAGAATTTTCACCAATATTAGACGTGTCGTGCATTTAGTGGAATCCGATTTTGTATTACCAACAAACCGTCCGGTCCAAATGTACACCCTCATGATTTATAGATGTAAGCTGCAATTTGTAATCTAAGCAAGGGTTTGTTGGTAATTATAATAAGTTTTTGAATGTTTATAATTGGAAACATAACATGACAAGTTGGACCCAATAGCACATGACAATTTACATGAGTCGCCGCCCTTTAGTTTTCTCTCCACCCAAAAGCCAGATCTACTCACATGCTTCCTCTATTATTATTCAATTATTTCATGTGACTATTGATTGAGCCAACCACTTCATTTTATTTCATGTTCAACTCAGTTGGACTTTAGAAAAGACAATCTAGTCAAACAATTGGCAACAATCTAACTAGATTATTTATTTAAAAGAAGAAAGAGATACACATTTAGAAAGCACAAAACAATTCACAACATATCCAAATATATATCTATCTATATATATATAAAAGAAAAGCCCGTATGAGTACAGTTCAACTAATTCTGGGATGATAAGTTGGTTTCGCGGAGGTGCATTTACCGAGACTTCTCTTTATGGATCCCACTTTTATCCAGAAAAAAACCCTAATAAGTAATTAAACACATTATAGATAGATAGATAGAAGAACCTGATACAATTGTTTATTTGAAAGCGCGCACACATACTGACAGACACGCATATATAGTATATAATTTGGGAAAACGTAATTTAATTTCTAGTAAGGAAAAAAAATATATATATAAAAAATCGAAGGTGTGCGTGATAGGGAGTCGTCGTCGTCGTTTCTGTAATCAAGATTGATCGTCCCAAAGCTGAGCATTTTTTATTTTAGAAACACTCTCCAATACTTGGAAAGGAGCAATGTCACCTGTTACAACCACCATTTTCGTTTCCAAGTCTACTTTGTACGAAATCACTCCTGCAATTTAATATAACTAATTCATCATCAGTATATATATATATATATATATATATATATATATATATATATATATATATATATATATATATATATATATATATATATATATATATATTTATTTATTTATATCAAGCAAATAATTTAGTTCACGAAAATTAAATTCTTCCCATTTTAATTGTCGTTTTAGGCTGATTCACACATATTAAAAAAACTAATAAACGTGCATGAATTCTGAAAAAATCATAATAAAATGACTAAACAACCATTTTCATAAATAATTTACCATTAATTCTCTCAACAGTAGTAAGGGCAAATTGAGAAAAACCACAATAAATACTTTATTAGAACCCTAAAGTGACAATTATTTTCAAATAAAAAAGTTGTTCCAGAACGACAAATCAAATGGGAAGGAGAGAGTACTTTTTATTCGTAAAAAAAAAATATTAATGAATTACCTTCCAACTTTGAGATGTGCTTCTCGATTTTTCTTGCGCAGCCATTACAGTGCATGGAAACTCTGAGCACAACAATCTGCAAATTCATGAAGTGTGAAAAAATTATTGCATTACAAGACAAAGTAATTCACTAATCAATTAAGCAAGTAATTAATTAAATTACTAACCTTAGGCTTTAAATGGAAGGCAAGAGTAGGGGGGCCAACTAAAACATCCTTGAGCTTCTTCTTAACATCATCTTTAATAACTGGAGGAGTACTGCTTGCAGTATTAAGAAGAGGCTTTTCATCATCATAGTTTGTATTAGTATTCCTCGTACACACAAAACAACTGCTGTAAGGAAACAGGCATAGACTGTCAAGTACTCTGCCACACCTCAGCTTCCTCATCATGCCAAAATTTATATTCTACCCCCCGCTTTCTGCTCTCAATATTGTGTCTTATGTATGTATATACCTTATAGTTTATTAAATAATATGTTGAATTTAATTATTACTTATATATATAATATATATTATATGTATACTGCTCAGTGCTCATCATTATGATGTGTGATCCATCTGTGTAGTCAGTGGGGACTTTGGAACTATATGTATGCATTCACAATTATTTTATATGATGTTTATTTGGATTATATATGTTGGAGTATTTTAATTTAAAAGAATATATATTTTATTATAAAATATAATATTAGTTTTGATCACTTTTATGAGGTCATTTAGACCGACAATATATTTTCTACATAAAACACCATAAATTTCACTAATTCTATATTAAATATAGCTTTTACAATGACCTAATTTTAGACTATAAAAAGGCGGCTTTGTGGTTTTGCAAGGGATGAGAAAAAAAAAAATAGAAAAGTATATTTTTAAACATGTGTTGAGCTTTTGCTGTGTGATTTTCAATATACTTTTGAGGCCCCTTCATGTTTTCGGTCACTATTTGAGTATTTGTTATTATACTTTTGTTGTAATTTTTTAGTGGATTAACTTATTTCGTAGTGGATTATGTTAATATTTTAGTGAATTTCGATATTTTTTGTAGTGGGTGACATTATAATGGATTTTAAATTCTTGCTTTGGAGACCGATTTTTAGTGAATGAATTAAATTGACACGTTGTTGTCTTATTTTTCTTTGGTTTAGGTTCTTGCACAAGCGGGTGATGGCAACAAGTGGGACGATGTTGAGTGATGATAAGTTTGTAGTGTTTATCACCTGGTCACTCTAACCTAACGAAAACCACGAGCAACACTGTCATAAATTCGGAAGCTTGTATTGAATTTTGATAAGTTTGTTGTTGATGCATAAGTGTTTTTCTACGATAAGTTTTTAGTGGATTAACCATATATTACGTTAATTTTGTAGTGGATTACATTAACCTATAAAGTGGATTTTGATAACTTTGTAGTGGATTTTGATAATTATGTAATGGATTACATTAATTCGTAGTGGATTTTGTAAATTTTTATTCGATTTCGATACGTTTGTAGTGCACTATATTAATATGAAAGTAGATTTTACGATAATTTTATACTGGTATCTACGTTAATCGAATAGTGGTTTTCGATGAATTTATAGTGTTTTTCAATGAGTATGTAGTGGATTTCAATCGATATATTACGTTAATTTTGTAGTGGATTAATTTAACATATAAAGTGGATTTTGATGACTTTGTAAGGATTTTGATAATTTTGTAATGGATTACGTTAATTCGTAGTGGACTATGTAAATATTTATTCCATTTCGATACGTTTGTAGTGCACTATATTAATATGAAAGTTGAATACGCTAATTTTATACTGATTTCTACTTTAATCGAATAGTGGTTTTCGATGAATTTATAGTGGTTTTCAATGAGTATGTAGTGGATTTCAATCCATATATTACGTTAATTTTGTAGTGGATTACTTTAACCTATAAAGTGAATTTTGATAACTTTGTAGTGGATTTTGATAATTTTGTAATGGATTATATTAATTCGTAGTGGATTATGTAAATTTTTATTCGATTTCGATACATTTGTAGTGCACTATATTAATATGAAAGTTGATTTTACGATAATTTTACATTGATATCTACGTTAATCGAATAGTGGTTTTCGATGAATTTATAGTGTTTTTCAATGAGTATGTAGTGGATTTCAATTCATATATTACGTTAATTTTGTAGTGGATTAATTTAACTTATAAAGTGGATTTTGATAACTTTGTAAGGATTTTGATAATTTTGTAATAGATTACGTTAATTCGTAGTGGACTATGTAAATATTTATTCGATTTCGATACGTTTGTAGTGCACTATATTAATATGAAAAAGTTGATTACGCTAATTTTATCCTGATTTCTACTTTAATCGAATAGTGGTCTTCGATGAATTTATAGTGGTTTTCAATGAGTATGTAGTGGATTTCAATCCATATATTACGTTAATTTTGTAGTGGATTACTTTAACCTATAAAGTGGATTTTGATAACTTTGTAGTGGATTTTGATAATTTTGTAATGGATTACATTAATTCGTAGTGGATTATGTAAATTTTTATTCGATTTCGATACGTTTGTAGTGCATTATATTAATATTAAAGTTGATTACGATAATTGCATACTGATTTCTACATTAATCGAATAGTGTTTTAATGAATTTATAGTGGTTTTCAATGAGTATGTAGTGGATTTCAATCCATATATTACGTTAATGTAGTGGATTTTGATAATTTTGTAATGGATTACGTTAATTCTTTGTGGATTATGTAATTTTTTATTCGATTTCGATGCGTTTGTGGTGCATTATATTAATATTAAAGTTGATTACGATTATTTCATACCGATTTCTACGTTAATCGAATAGTGGTTTTCGATGAATTTATAGTGGTTTTCAATAAGTATGTAGTGGATTTCAATTTTTTGTTAAACTTGCGGTAAAAAAAACCAATTAAAAAATTGAAAATTGAAAAAAAATAAATATATTGTTTAAATTGAAATTACAAAAAGATTGTAAAAGATGAATTTATAGTGGTGTTCAAGGAGTATGTAGTGGATTTCAATTTTTTGTTAAACTTGCGGTAAAAAAACCAATTAAAAAAACGAAAATTGGAAAAAAATAAATATATTTTTTAAATCAAAATTACAAAAAGATTGTAAAAAGAATCAAAAGGAAACTGGAATGCGGTGATTTGCATTTAGTGAGAGGTTTGGAGCAGTTGGTAAGAGATTTAAGGGGAGTTATTTAGCAATAATAAATTAATTAAATTTTTATGAATATAATAAGAGTAAATGAGGTATTAACCTTAATGAGAGGGTTATCCCTAATAGTAAATAAAAATATGCATTTATGCCTCTAAGAAATTTGTATGAAGGGTTTATCTCATATATATATATATATATATATATATATATATATATATATATATATATATATATGCGCCCTCAGCCCAAGTCACTCATCTAATGGGCCGAAGATAGGCCCGAAAACTCTCTCTCTCGCTGGCCCAAGCTTAGTAACCAGACCCATATATAATCAAAGCCCACCAGATCCCTTTCCTCCCCCCCTCTCTCTCTTTAGGTGGCTTACAAACCGAGGAGAGGATAGAAGATAAAAGGGAGAAGAGTATTTTCTCTCTCTCTCACAGCTCCTGGCCACACAAAAAAATAGAGACAAGCACACACATCCACCAAAAAACACACACATATAGAGAAAAAGGAATTCACACACACAAATACGCAAACTAGCACACACCAACACACACAGAGGAGAAAATACACTTATACTTCCAAAAGAAGTACACCTTGAAGACACACTAGTACTGGAGGTGGTCCAACTATAATATATATATATATATATATATATATATATATATATATATATATATATATATATATATATATATATATATCGCCCCACTCAGTCTCAAAAATCAAAGTTTAGTTATATTATATTTTAGAAAAGAAGCCGGTTAGTTTGCTCGCATTAACAATCTAGTGAAAAATGTCTTTATTTGTGCCACGACCCCATGGTATGATTTATTTCTATATTCTATGTTCGTTATTATTTTATTTTTATTTTTAATACAAAAATAAGTAATATAATATATATATATATATATATATATAATAATAATAATAATAATAATATATATTATGACTTATGATTTATTCCATAACTTTTTTATTTTTCATATTAAATAATTTATAACAAAACTAAAATTAATATTATGGAAAAATTAGAGAAAAAAATATATATGAGTTGAACTCGAGCTCACCAAATTTGACAAGTGCTAGAGTTCGAAAAATTCGGCGAGCTCGGCTCATTTACACCTCGAGTTACTTACACTCAATGTTGTCAGAACCAGAACGAACCGGTTCGACCGTGAGCCGGCGATAAAGCGGTCTGGTTTGACATCTAAAACCGGGGTCAAATGAAGAAAAATCGGTTCAAGAAACCCGGTTTTTGCCCAAAACGTCTCGAATCACCACTGAGTTCGTTATTTGTGGCTAGATTTGAGCGAATCTTCATAGACTTAGTAGTGGGTGGCCGAATCTAGCCATGAGTACTGGTCGAATGATTGTTAGATACGATCATGGGTGATCGAATAGGGGTGGCCGATTGCCGAATCTGAAGAATAAAAAATGAAAACATATAGAGCATAAGCAATAAAATATAGATTAAAAATTGAGGTGAAGTAGATAACAGTGAAAATAATAAGTGGGAGATTAAAAATATAAAGAAAACAATATTTTTCAAACATTAAAATTAATAAAATAATAACATATTAAGAAAAAATCAAAAACCCGATTGAACCGGCTCGACCCTATAAACCCATGATTCAATGGTCGTCCGATTCTATAGCCGGTCCAGTTCTGAAAACATTGTTTACACTTACACGGATACATATATGTATGCAAACTTTGTAGTTATCCCTGCATATTTATAATAAAATAATCTCACACCCATTTTTATAATTGATTTTTTTTTTTTTTTTTTGTTTTTTGTTTTTTATGAGAACTATAAAAACCTGAAATAACTAAATGATCATAAATATCACTTCTCATAAGTTTTTTTTTTAATTAGGTATGAAACCGTTCTTCTCTCTAATAATAATATGTGGTTCAATCTCTAGCCCTAGGGTTTATATAGGTCTGCTTTACCAGAGTTTATATCACTAGGGTTTATAATTTATATAAATATGTCTGCTTTTCCTAGTTTATTTCACCAGTATATATATATATATATATATATATATATATATATATATATATATAAGTCTG